ATATTGTTATCAATGATTTAGTCTCTCTTATTTTAATGTAGTTTGTGAGCTTGGACTCTGCCCATTTGCTAGACAATTCTAAAACTTTGCCATTTCTAAAAAAAAAAATCATTGTTTACATTTGTACAAATGCACACTTTTAGTGGCTGTCAGACTGGCACTCCCTTCTTAAGACCTCATACATCTGGCATAATCTTGACCAAAATAATAATGCTGAATGTTCATAGAATGTTATGGGAACACACTGGATTAAAATCTTCATGACGGAGAAAGGGGTTTGATGCACATGTGCCCTCTTTCCACAATGTTTCTCTGTGAGATGGTATGGGTTGGACAACAAATTTATCATTACTGATGACTATATTAGAGGCGAATGGGTTGCACAAAGAAGAACATCCAGGCACCACAATACAGTTTTATATATGCACATTATATTGTAATTTTGGATTTTAATGACAGTAAAATAAAAAGAAGGGGGTTGTGGATATAAACACTAATATTAAAGGTAGGATGTTCCATTAAGGCAGGGGCAGGCAACCTTAGGCACTCAAGATGTTGTGGACTAAATCTTCCATGTGTTCTACCCGCCTTATGGCTGTATGAGCATTGTAGGAAATGTAGTCCACAACATCTGGAGTGCTGAAGGTTATATACACCTGCTTAAAGGTTAGAGGTAGGATATGAGCAAGGTTAGAACAACGGTTTTTGTAATGGACATGTTCAATAGGTAAGAGATGCTGCGACATTGTTACCTGTTTGCATTGTTAGCCATGTTGTGCTTCTCTGTCTCCAGTAAACTTTTCTCAGTTGTTTAGAACCTAAACCACGGTTCTAAACCAGGGAACCAGGGACCCAAACAATGTCCTAAATCGTAAAGATTTTTGACACATGTGTTATTAGGCATTTATTCACACTGGAACTCTTGAATCTATCCAATACATTTTTGTTGTGTTATATAAAATATCATTTCGTTACAACACTATTAATAAATGGCATAGGTGTCTAATTTTGCAATATTTTTAAAAAAGAAAAGGGCGTCTTACTCTACAACTCTATAATCTAATTTTTAAAGATAACACACCCAAGCTCGGCCTTGGCAGTAAATATTGACAATAGGATTGGCAGAGATGTTTGAACCTGGTGGAGCAAGCTTTAAAACCAGCCAAATGTCTTGTAGTGACGTGTGCCTCAGTAAGAAGAAAGCCTCAGATTTATTTAGAAATTAATTTGATCATTTAGATACCACTCAGATAGATAGGTAGGTCCCACTCCTTAATCTAATTCAAACATACAAAAAGTTGAATCATCAAACTATATTACATATTAGGCAATTTCCGGCAACCCAGCTTCTTGGAAGTACTACTAACATCTGGTTGCTCAGGCAAGATTGGAATTGTAGGCCCCAACAGCTATTGGGCAAAGGTTTTCTATCCCAAGAGCTTAGTGTCTTAATGAGCTGGGGCCCTGAAGGAATTATTGGACTACAACTCCCACATAAGCCTCACCCAAACACTGACCAGCTTCAAATAGACTCCCATATTCTTGTACTTGCATGTAAAACTTCCATATCGTGACATCTGGTGCACAGATTGGAAACACACAAAAAAACAGTTACCAAAACATTATCTTTTGTCCCAATGTCATGCTCTGTGTTTATATTCATTTAAAATGACCCAGAGCAAGGAAATTAAAAGTACTCAATAATATTTATACTGACGGAGAGTCACTGATATGGTTATCAAGTAAGTAATTAAACTTTTTGCATTTTGATAAACTTTAAAACCGATTTTTTTCAAATTATTTAAATATAACAAAATATAAAAAATATATAAAAGTTTATCTAAAAATATTAAATGATTTGAAAAGCTTATCCAGGAATATGAAATTGATGCCTATATTAGGCCAAATGTAAACAGACTGCTCAACTAAGTGTCTCAGGTGAGGGTGAGGGAGGAACTTTTCCTCCTGATAGTTATAGCAAGGGAATATTGCCCTTTAGTATAGCAGCTGGCTTGCATTAGTCTAGCAGGAATCATATTATTTAAAGGGACACTATAGTCACCCAGACCACTTCAGCTCAATGAAGTGGTCTGGGTGCCAGATCCCCCCGGTTTTAACCCTTCAGATGTAAACATAGCAGTTTCAGAGAAACTGCTATGTTTACATTCCAGGGTTAATCCAGCCTCTAATGGCTGTCTTCCTGACAGCCGCTACAGGCGCTTCTGCGACGCTGGATGCGAAAATTGAGAAATGCTTTCCTATGGACTGTTTGAATGCGTGCGCGGCTCTTGCAGCGCATGCGCGTTCTGCTCCACTTAGGAGCTGACGTTGGCGGGGGAGGAGAGGTCACCAAGGCCGAGGGAGCCCGGCGCTGGATTAAAGTATGTAGCTGAAGGGGTTTTAACCCCTTCAGCGCCAAGGGAGGGGGGCTCTGAGGGTAAGAGGGTCCTAAGGAGTATATAGTGTCAAGAAAACGAGTTTGTTTTCCTGACACTATAGTGATCCTTTAACCCTCACACTGCTATAAGGATATTTAACTACAAGCTTCTGTCTTAATTACAAGCTACTGTTTAGTCCAGATTTCAATACATTTCTTGCAAAACATGTGTAAATGTTTTGTGGAATTGCCTGGTTCCATGTAAGATTCAGGTAGATATCTGAAGTTTGGTAAATACGCGAATCCTATATATTTGATTGTACCAAAGCTGAATTTTAATTGTATTTACCATAAATAAATCATAAAATTGCAAATCCAGGGAAATCCCACTGACTTTCGCCAGATTTTTCACATCCAGACCAACAGTAAGAATTTAAAGTGAATGTACAATTTAAGGTCAAAATAGTTGAACTGGTAAAAAGTCAGCTATGCTTTCAGTTTCGCTAATCGGCCCTTGATTTCAGCACCAGGCGAAGCTTCCGGCACTGCTTTTCCATGTCCCCTTGAGACAACACTGGGGCTGTGCCGAGATCCAATGACAGGCTTCTCATAGAGATGCCTGTGGTTGAACCATATTATTGGCTCAGACCACATGCGTGCCCTATGGGCCGGTTAGAGGAGGTAAGGGGAGATTTAAAAAAAAATTTAAACCACTAATGTAGAAGGGAGGTAGGCGGGTCGGAACGCAATGTGGGAGGGAGGGAATAGCTTTTGCAGGTGTTCTGCCTGTAAGAGGAAGATTTTCACACTTGCAAAGTTCCAGGCTTCCTAACTCACGTGTGCTGGGGGTGCAACTTGCCCCTGGCTTAACATAGTTGCCAATAACAAATCACTGACGTGGACATGATGGTTGGAGTAACCCTTTAAGTTTTGAAATTCACTTTGAATTCTCACTGTAGAAAAGAAAACTTTTTTTTTTTTTTTTTATAACCCTGTTGTTGATCAGCATACATAAAACAAGATGCATATTTATCAAAGACACATAAAACACATTTAGTAAAAAAAAAAAAAAATACAAAGGCTGAATGTATGTGTATTCTGGATAATATTGATTTTTGCAGTAAAAAGCGGTTAGGTTGCTTTCTACTAGTAAACTAAACAAACAGCACCCTCTGCTGGTAAAATATAAGAAATGCAAATTATGTTGTATGCTTGGATTCTGTATTGAGAAATGAAGATACATAAATAAACCCCCAAATAACCTATTAAAATCTAACTAACCAAGAGTATACAGAATGGATTTAATAGGGGTTTTGCTAAACATTGTGAACTGCATTCCATCACTTGCCATAATGACAATGAGGGCTAGGGAGTTTGACGAATAGATCTATGGTGAGGCAAATTGTAAAACGCAGGTATGAGTAAATAGGCTACATGTAAGAAATGTGAATATGGTTTGCAAACCCTGCATATCTTGTCAAAACAAAAGTAATAATGTTGTTTTGGATAATTAAAGGGAACTGCCACTTCTCCTGAATTTACCCTTTTGAATGAAAAAATATATACAGTATTGTTAAACATTTAAGAATTTATATCAATGTCAAACAGTTTAAAGCCAGGGCAAACATTGCTGGATGTGAAGGGCACAGTTTAGAACAATGATTGTCGGGGAGCTAAGATGGATGCACCCAGTTGCAGGATAAAACAGTGTGGATTCTCTAAGAATTGATCCTGTATAAGGCAAAATGTGGTCTCACAAAATATCAATTTGATTTATTTCATAAATTTTTTCAGTTCCCCCACTTTGTATTTTGTTAAATGAGAAAAATAAAAGTAACATTCTGTTTTTTAAAGCATTCTTACTTTGCAGCATTTTAACCATGGTCCTAAATTACTGTACAGTGTGTGTGAGTATATATTAATATACGCTCTTAAATGGCCACGGCACCTGACCAGGCCCCTATTTAACAGTATTCATCAGGTGGCCCTAAGTGCATGGGACACACAATGGGCCCTCAATGCATACGAGCCCGGTGTAGCACACCAGCTGCACTTGCAGTAGTTCTGCCACTGAAAGTAGTCCTTACTTGTCTTATGCATTTTAAGAGAAACAGAAGAAAAAAAAAAAAAACAGACTGCGAGATAGAGAGAAAAGAAGATCAATTAAGGAATGGTAAACTTGGCCGTACAGAGCCACTTTAACAGAGAAACGTACATTTCTTGAGAGAAATTTCTTGATAGCACTTGGTGATGATGATGCTGATAGATTGTTATTCTAGCATTTCTACATGCTTCCTAAGGTTTGAGATAGATGTAAGTACAGACTGACAGATCTTGCAACCATATTATTTCATATATAAATATGTACCAGTGGCTGGTTATGTTGATAAGTATTTTCATAAATTCAGTTAAGTGCCAGATCATTTTAAGACCAATAATGTCTGAAATTGTATATCCAGGCTCTCTAAGAAAGAGATGCCGGGTTTACATCTTGTTTTTAACCTTGGCAAATTTTGCAAAAGTCAAAACCGGTTTGAGTTGTTATGATAATGTAGTTAAACCTGTTGAGTGTTTGCTACAGATTCATTGCTCTGTGAAAGCTGTACTCCTGACTTACTGCACACGGACAGACAGGCACCCGTGAAACACAGGTAAGTTGCTCAGAAGCATGTATTGCAAATATGAAAAGACAACTGACATCAAACTTTCATTTCTCATTTATTAATGTATATTACATACAAAATAATGAACAGCCATGTTGGGTAAGACCTGCAGGCAAGTTCATTATAAACTGATCCTAAAAGATTTACAATTTGAAGGTTGTCAGGTTTCTAGCACTACTGAAAATGTTTTGTTCAAGGCACAATACAGGCTCCAGTTTCTTTCCATCTAAGATACACTAAGCGGACAAAAATATTGGGACACCAAAAGGGACTTTTATGACATTGCATTCTAAATACATAGATATTAATATGTAGTCTGTCCCCACTTTGCAGCTATAACAGCTTCCACTCTTCTGAGAAAGCTTTCCACCAGATTTTAAAGTGTTTCCATGGAAATTTTGCGTATTCATCCAGGAGAGCATTTGAGGTCAGGTACTGATGTTGGACAAGAAGGCCTGGCTCGTAATCTCCCCTCCAAGCCATCCCAAATATATTTAATGGGGTTGAGGTCAGGGCTCTGTGCATTCCAGTCAAGATTTTCAACATAAAACCCATCTAATCATGTCTTTATGGACTTTGCTTTGTGGTTCACAAACTCGGTGTTGTCCCTTTGGGTAAATCTTTGAGTAAATACGTCAGTGATTTAATTGATGTCCATTTGCAACCCATTTATGTTTACATTTGTGTGACACCAAGTATGTACTGAGAGCACTATCAGACACTAAGTGGAGGTATCAGACACTGAATGGAGGCCAGGGTACCGCTGGGTCACACTTAATGTCGCCTTATACTCCTCTATCCCTGACGACAAGGGCATCGTGCTATTGAATATCATCTGGATCATTATTCTAAATATCCTAGGAATCTTACATGTTTTCATTTTGATGGCATTTGGTTGTTGTTACATCATATTAGTTTTCTGTTTGATGGTGTGTTCTACCCGCTGAGATGGCAAATAAATTTGCGCTATTGTACGTCAAACTCTATATGGTGTGGTAAGAGGAGACCCGCATCTTTGAGGGTAGATCCACTCTTTTGTCTAATATAATTATTTAGAAGCATTACATCGATGATCTTTTGTTGATTTTGAGTAGTTACTTGGAACTCTTATAAGAACTTTTAGTTACTGCAGTTTGAACGAAATGAATCTAAATTCAGTATTGATCCAAGTCCATCATCTAGTCCTTCACAGATTTAGCTTTCAATGCACATGGTGACTATGTATATACAATCCTCTACCGGTAAGAGTGCTCAGGCAATAGCCTCTTGTTGACAACTTCTTGTCATCCTCCACATCAAATTAATAGCATCCCCAATGGACAGTATTTGCACTTTCGTTGCAAATTTTTCAGTGAGGATGCCTTTATTGCCCAGTCAGACTCCTTAAAATCCAGACTTCATGAGAAAGGCTATTCAGATTAGTGACCATCCAGACTAATAATAAACCGGTATGGCTATAATATTTTGGCACTTTTAAATGTGGCACAACGCACTGCAGAGTCTTCTCTAGTCTGCAGATAAGGGCATCTTTTACATGCACAGCAACATGCAGGGCTTACCAAACCAGTCAATATATTAATGTGATATTTTGTTTATTGGTTTATTTATTAATGTGCCAATCATGTTCCAGCTAATATGTCAGGCAAACAACCCAATCTTTATAAAGTTATATTAGGGAACACATCAATGCCATAGAACAGCATTCTCCATATTCTCCTCTAACTCGTCATATTAATGCTTGTAACAGCTCTGATGTATCTAAACTCAGGGTCCAAGGTTTCGACAACACTATTAAACCATTTGGGGGGGTGCTTGTAGGGCTAAATTAGACTACTCTGAGGTCAAGTGGATAGATTACATTATCTCATGGTTTAAACAGTGAATTAGATATGCCCAACTATTTTTTTGATTTCTTTTGATGTATGTACCTCTACGATTCTGTATTTATAATAACATAAGGGTTAATGGAGACTAAACATTTCAATGACTTACACAGAGAGTTCTTTGTACAATGTTGAGAAGTATTTATCTCAAACAGGGTTGGTTTGATACTTTTTAGTGAATGCATAATTTGTATATATTTTTGCATATATTTTCTTTCGTCATCTGCTTGTTTTAATCAAAGTAATAAAAAAATAACATATGATGCCAAGGCACACCACGGTTTTGCACGTAAAAAGAGTATTTATTCACGCATAGAAAATACAACAAGATATCATTATAGCAGAGAGAAAGTGCATAGTATAGTGCTAAACCAGTATATAGTACCAAAACCACACTGTAAGTAAAGTGCTAAATGCAAAAACCATTAAAAAAGGTATACTGACCAAGAGCAGGAGAAATGAAACCCATAATTTTATGTTTATGTTATGTTTGTTTTAATCAATGTGTCATGTGTGTTTAAATTTGAAACTAACACTCCCATATCCCTGCTGGATAGATTAATTTGATCGCCTAGCTTTGTAACGGTTAAAGGTTTCCCCTTTAATTAATTAAGCAATTGCTGCGGTGGGGGTTTAAGACTTTGTTGGTTTGTTGGTTTGTCGGTGTCTTTAGATTACAATTAAAGGACCACTATAGTGCCAGGAAAACATACACGTGTCCCCACCCTCAGGGTCCCCCTCCTGCCGGGCTCTGGGGAGAAGAAATGGTTAAATCTTACTTTTTTCCAGCACCGGGCGGGGAGCTCTCCTCCTCCTCTCCGCCTCCGATCCTCCTCTTCGGCTGAATGCGCATGCGCGGCAGGAGCTGTACGCTTTCCTATGGACGCTTGCGTCTTCGCACTGTGATTTTCACAGTGAGAAGCACGCAAACGCCTCTAGCGGCTGTCAATGAGACAGCCACTAGAGGTTTAGAGGCTGGATTAACCCATTTATAAACATAGCAGTTTCTCTGAAACTACTATGTTTATAAAAAAATGGGTGCTGAAGTGGTTTGGGTGCCTAGAGTGGTCCTTTAAGTGCAAACAGCATGAAATGCATTAGGCACTTTGTCTAGGGATCTAAAACAGGGGAAGGTACCAGCGCTAATATTCTGACAATGTAAATTCTAACAGTATTATAACTTCAATAATGTTATGCTGCTATATCACCATATTCTCATCTTTAAACAACAAAGTATAATAGTGTATAGGTGAAGCGCTATATTAGTATATCTAAAACCAACAAAGAAAGTGGTCCGTGCAGTGGAAAGCAGAAATATAGGTACAAATACCTTAACTTGTCTTATATCAAATCACAGTGGATCATAAGTCGTTCCTTAAAAATATAAGCCAACAAACCCAAACATAGTGCAAATTGTGATACAAAGGTAAGTATATATAAAGGAGATTATGAATTTCTCACTCACACTTTTAAGAGCTAGATATATATAGCTTAATAAAATCGCTTTCAGGGTCCGTAAAGGTGACCCTTTCCCTTCTTTAGTATGGAATCTTCTCTCTCTTGTATTCTGTAATAGATATGGTGCAATAACATAGATAAAGTGTCTTATGGTGAGTAAGGTAAATAGGGTACTTACAAACCCAGAGCCATTCACATCGGCTCTGATCCAATAGTGTATGCGGTTAAGGACCACAATCCTTGTTTTCAAATAGCAGGAAAATGCCAATAGTGATTATAAAAAATCTATAAACTTTATTGTGCTATTTCCAATAAAATATGAATATATAAAAAATATATAATAAAATGTCACTATATAGGCATAAAAGTCCAATACTTCAAAGTCTGTTCCTCACAATGCTCCCAGGATGTGTTTCACCGTAAAAGCTTCCTCAGCTGGATGTGGAAAAAGTATTTGTGTCTCCTCTTGAACTGGTTCCTGCTATATGTACCCCTCGTAGGGGTAGGCTGATTGTTTTCCGGCTTGTAATTTCCCAGTCAGTCACCATAGAAACGGTTAAAAACTTCTAAATAGTGATACATGATCTAATTTTTTAATATAATACATATTTTGTTTCTAATTTCTTTCCATTAAAATATGTATTCTTATGTATTGATATTCCCAAATATAATTATATAGGTACAGATATAACATTTTAAAATATGTGCTTACTATTAAAAAAGATTTAAAAAGTTTGTCTGGGGATACTTTTCGATTTTTTCTTACTTTCTTTTTTACTAAGGTGTTTGCGATGGTTGTTTTTCTGATATTTTATTGCTTTATGATTGTAATAAAAGTTATAGTTCAATTACCCTCACGTTGGAGCAGCGTTATTCTCTACTGATTGGCTATACCTGAGGATTCTGCTAGCCAGCATAAATTGCTTGTTTCTCGCCCAGAAGACTGCCAAACAAGCATGATTCATCACTCCACAGAACACGTTTCCAACGCTCCATAGTTCAGTGCTTTACACTTTTGGCATTGTACTTGGTGATGTGAGGCATGCATGCAGCTTGTCAGTCGTGGAAACCCATTCCATGAAGCTCCTGCCGCACAGTTTTTGTGCTGATATTAATGCCAGTGGAAGTTTGGAACTCGTCAGCTACGAAATCAGCAAAACATTGGTGACTTTTACGCACCATACCCCTCAGCACTCGGTGACCCTGCTCTGTGAATTTACGTGGTCTACCGTTTCATGGCTGACTTGATGCTGTTCCTAAACACGTCCACTTTCCAATAATACCATTTACAGTTGACCGTAGAATATCTAGCAGGGATGAAATTTGGCAAACTGACTTATTGCAAAGGGGGCATTCTATCACAGTAGGACATTTGAATTCACTGAGCTCTTCAGAATGTCCAATTTTTTCACAAATGTTTGTAAATGCAGACTACATGGCTAGGTGCTTGATTGCAATGGGTCTGAATTCATTTTTTTACTTTTGTCCCTATTGTCTATATTCAAAATTAATAAGAATAAATTAACTGGCACTCCTAATATTGCAAAATCATTGTTTGGAACATGTAGTACAGCACATGAGTGTACGTGAGAAAATGTTGTCCCTGAAACACATTATGCATTTTTGCTTACAGAATATTAACATTCTAATCCATGTAGAGTAGGGGATCCCAACCCAGTCTTCAAGTACCCCCTACCAGTCCAGGATTTAGGGATTACCCAGTTGTGTCTAAAATGTTTTTTTTTTCTAAAAACACCTTAGATACAACTGGGTAATCCCTAAATCATGGACTGCTAGGTGGTACTTGAGGACTGGGTTTAGGAACCACTGATATAGATCATTTAAGTAAACCTGTCATAAAAGTTATTAAAATGTTACATGGTTTGAGGCCCAATAAGGAACAATGCATGAAAATGTGCTACACCAGGGGTTCCCAAACCAGTCCTCAAGTATCACCTAACAATCCACGATTTAGGCATTACTCTGTTGTATCTAAAGTGTTTGTTTTTTTTGTCAGATTTTTTTTTCTAAAAACACCTTAGATACAACTTGGTAATCCCTAAATCCTGGACTGGGAGGAAGTACTTGAGGACTGGGTTGGGAACCACTGATGCAGATGGAATGCAACAAGTACTGTGGTTTTAATTTATGGGGGTTGTCTGCTGTTTTTGACTTAGAATTCAAAACATGCAGAGTTATTCACTAAAATGAGAATTGTTGGGAATTCAAAGAGAAATTAAAAGTTCAAAATAGCCAACCCAGAAACATTCTCTCATTTATCTATTCTTCCAATTCAGCTACTTTGGCCTTAAAGGACCACTATAGTGCCAGAAAAACAAACTTGTTTCCCTGGCACTATAGTGCCCTGAGGGTGCCCCCACCCTCAGGGTCCCACTCCCACCGGGCTGAAGGGGGAGGAAGGGGGTTAAACACTCACCTTTCTCCAGCACCGGGCTCCCTCGGCGCTGGGGACTCTCCTCCCTCTTCTGATGTCATCGGCTGAATGCACATGCGCGGCAAGAGCCACGCATGCATTCAGCCAGCCCATAGGAAAACATTCTCAATGCTTTCCTATGGACGCTGGCGTCTTCTCACTGTGAAAATCACAGTGAGAAGCACAGAAGCGCCTCTAGCGGCTGTCAATGAGACAGCCACTAGAGGGTGTATTAACCCTATTGTAAACATAGCAGTTTATCTGAAACTGCTATGTTTAGAGCAGGCAGGGTTAATCCTAGATGGACCTGGCACCCAGACCACTTCATTAAGCTGAAGTGGTCTGGGTGCCTATAGTGGTCCTTTAAGTCTGAATTTAATCACTTTGAATTCCCAATAATTCTCACTTTTGTAAATAACACTGATAAGATCACTTACCGCTTATTCCGCAAAAACAAGCTGAATCATATAGTTTATTTAACGCAAGGCATTTATAGCTAACATGATATTAGCTCAAAATGGATATATTCATTTATACCTGTGCCAACATAATATAAACATAAATATATAAAATTATGAACACATTTTTTTTTATTTTTTCATTAATGCTTTGCCTGAAGACAGGGCTGTCTTTCTACATGGGCATGTCTTTCCACATGCCACAAGCATAGGGGCCCCACCACATTGCCAATGTGCCAAGGCCGACAGAGGAGATCCTTTCATCTCCTCTGCTGGACCACACAAAGCTGGCCTCGCTATCCGCCTTCCCGGCCGTTGAGGAGATTAAAGATCTCCCTCACTGGCCACCGAGCACTTCATGCAGGAGAGGGAGGATACGGGAAGCTGATGGTTTCACCCGCGAGCAGGCTGTGTGGAGCATTGTTCTCGTTACCATGGCAACGCTCCGACACAGCTCGCGAGAGGAGAAGAGTGAAGTCAGCCTGAAGTCAGAGGAGCTGTCACTGGACCACTAGGGATTGTAGTGTTCTCCCCCTGGCCAAAGGTAAGAAGAAGGGGAGGGGATGACTTAAATCTTTTTTTTCCCCTTTTTTAAATAATAAAAAAATTTACACTTTACTCCCTTATCACACACCTCCCCCCAATATAGACCCTATGCACACACACTGCACCCCCTCTATTGCTGCACTAATCTTCCCCCCAAGTCCCCACCAGTGAACGGCGGGTGGGGACCCTAAATAAATAAATAATGGGGGGGGACCTAATGTCCCCCCAGCTCCCCACCCATGAGTGGCGGGTGGGGCCCTAATTAATTAAAGCAGGAACCTGGCACAGGTTAGTAGGGGCATGTCACCTAAACAGCGAGTAGCCAGTGGCTTCTCGCAGTCATTTAAAACTGAAAATCAAAATCAGTATCTTATATAGAAGTGATAGAGAGCTACAGTAAGAGTACATGTAACCAATAGTTATAGCAAAAACTATAACTATGTTGCAATATGAAAAAGTAGCTATTTAGATCAGTAACACAATTAGGCTGTGCTACTGATCTAAATAGCTACTTTTTACACTTACTCTTAACACTTCTATACAAGATACATTTATATCCAGTTTTAAATGACAGCGAGCAGCCAGTGGCTGCTCACTGTTATTTCAAATTAAATATAAATCAGTAAATCAGGGGTCAATGATAAAACGGAGGTTAAATCCTCCCACATGCGCTCATGGGTGGAGACCTGGGGGGGACTTTAGGTCCTCCCCATTATTTATTTGTTTAGGGTCCCCATCAGCCACTCATGGGTGGGGACCAAGGGGGACATTAGGTCCCCCCTTTAATTAATGAGCGACGGGTGGGGACCAGGGAGGACATTAGGTCCCCCTGTTTATATAAAAAGCCCCACGGGTCACGGGTGGGGGCACGGGGGGGCACTATGCCCCCCCCATTTTAGTTATATACTGTTATCCCCCTTATTGCACTAGCAACTGGGCAGTAACAGCTGACAATTTAACCTCCCTTTTATCAATATGGGGGTCATAGACATAGGGGAGGGAGGGGAGGAATTAATTTTATTACAAGGAGGGAGCTGGTAGCTCTGCCGGCTCCCTCCTTGTTTTTTGTTTGTTTGTTTTTTGCGCATGTGCAGTGTTATTTTATCCGTGCTGTGGGGGTTAATTCCCTTGCAGCACAGAGTCTATTAAACGAACAAAATGAAAAGGTAATGCATTCGGCATTTCCCCATTCATTTAGTTTATATTTTGTCTGTAGGGTTTTCGTTTAAGTTTTGGTAAACAAATTAAAAAAAAAACGCATTTTTTTGACTAAATCGTATTGCCATTAAGATGGAACTTTAGGACCTGTCTGGCTCTCTGGAGGTACTTGGATGTTGCTGTCCTCCTTGCCTTTACCTCAGTTTTCCCATGTGCTTGTGGTATCCCTAGATACTTGTTGCTATTCCCTACATTTCCTTTTAGGCACTTCAAATCCTTCTGCCCTCTCTCTTTTCTTTCTCTCGCGTCTCCATCCACCTTCCTTTTCCCCTACTTGCAAGGGCACCATTCCGCACCCGTTCACATATCCAAAACAGAGACCCCACATACAACACATATGGAATACTCACCCCGACTGCATGAGAGCAAACCCCCCCTTCGGAAATGACAATCACAAACTCAACGGTACTCAATAAAGTTGCACCATGCTTACAGAAATAACCCTTTAGAAGCAAACTCCAAGTCGACACAGAAAGCATGGGCGAGACGCCTGTAGTTTGTGTAACTTTAGCCATGTTGTACACTGCAATGATACCTTGTTATTCATGTGCCTTTTGTAACTTCATGCATGCCTAATTAAAATGCTGAATTGGTG